CGGGGTTTTTTATGACTTTTTATACATTCTCGGCTGTTGTATCTTTTCTTTCTTTGATTCTTGTTTATATTATTGCTGTTGTTGTTATTGTTTTTGTTTCAATTTCGGTTTGATCTTTCTCTGCTACATGTGTAGTTGGCTCCCCTGTGCGTTGCGTCTGTTCACCAAGATCCATGTATTGGAGAGAACAGTGATTGAACATGTATTTTTTGCACAACTCCCAGTTCAAACTTCACAAAAGGAATTTTAAGAGATCTCATGTTCTCTCGTGAAAGAGAAATGCAGCCAACAAAAGAGAGTTGGATATTATTTTCATTTGCAAATTCCACACTTAAAATTTGAATAAATGAATAAAATTCAGTCAAAACTTGTGAGTTTCTTTTTTTTTTGTTTTTGTTTTTTGAATGGACAAAAAAAAACAAAAAATAAATTTCGTGGTTGGTATGTGTATAATTAACGGACCATTCCCCCGAGTTGTGTAAGATAATATAAACTGCTGTTTCCGAAAATATTGCCCCAGACATTTTTATTGACAAAAATGGACTAGAAACCTATCGAACCCTTTATCAAGTTGTAGAAATCCCCTTTTTTATGATATTTATAGTTTGTTGTTATCAAGAAAACACACATTTCATTTATGACTTCTAAATGCCAAGGCAAATATTCTGTGACGATGAACCATAAAATTGAATCACTCACTTAAAAGTAGAAAAAAGTAACGGCATAGCCAAGAACGTGTTTCAAAATCGTTTAGAAGTTCTTAAAAAATGGAAGAGTTCTGTTATTTCAAAATGGTCAGGCTAATTTGTGTCAAGCTCTTTTAAAATGCGGAGGTATTTATTATCCTTAACCGAATTAAATGTACCAACACTGAAAGAGTTTTCCATAGGTCCATTCCTATCCCCTGAGGTTTCTGACCTCTTCGCCACATCAGTGCCCTGTTAAAAAGGGGCCCAGTAAAACATTTTTTTATCACATTTTCGTACGGTCATTTAATGTAATGACACATTTCTTCATCAAGCGTATCAGTGTGTCGAATTTTTTTCTGGAAAATTTGTTTATCAAATTTTGAGTTGCGTCACAAAACTCAACTTCCGTATTAACATTTTTCGTTATTTTAAAAACTTTTTTGTTGAAATGATTTTATTTATATTTTTGTAATCGCCTTTTCTTCTCTCGTTTTGTTTCATTGCCATATAAGATTTGGATTTCGTTTCGTATTATTTTTGTGGTGGAGCTGGCGGTGGTGGAGCCAGCGCTCTCCCTTTGTTTGTGGGGAGTTGGTTCTTTGTTTGGAAATCTTTTTGAAGTTGTCGTTTTTGTTGTTCTTGCTGCTGTTGTGTCCATTGTTTCCTCATTATTATTATTTATTCAATTGCATTATGAAGACAAAAAAGGCGACAAAAAGTGAATCGGTTACTTTGTATAGATGGCACAGTGGGGGTAGAAGTAAATTTTTGAAGTTACCCCAAAGCAATTACTTTAGGGTTTTTTTATACCCTCCACCATAGTATGGAGGGCATATTATATATATATATATATATATATATATATATATATATATATATATATATATATATATATATATATATAATTTTACTGAAATGTATGTTATGTCTACAGCACTTTTGGTATTGAAAATGGGCTATGTAAGTCCACGCCTTTGTATAGCTCCCATATAACAGTACCTCCCAATATATGGTATTTTGAGGATTTTAGCGACATTATTCACCGGAAATGTTTCAAATTTGGCATTTGAAGTTCGTAATGGATACTACAGCCTACGACAGAAAATTTTCCGTGCAGGTCTACGCCTTCGTATAGCCCCCATATAATGTTTCCTCCCTATTTTCGATATTTTGGTGATTTAAGCGACATTATTCACGGGAAATGTTTCAAATTTGATATTTGAAGTTCGTAATGGATACTACAGCCTATGACAGAAAATTGGCCGTGCAGGTCCACGCCTCCATATAGCCCCCATATAACGGCACCTTCCGATATTCGGTATTTTGATGATTTTAGTGACATTTTTTACCGGAATTGTTTCAAATTTGGTATTTGAAGTTCGTAATGGATACTACAGCCTATGGCAGAAAATTGTATGTGCAGGTCCACGTCTTCGTATAGGCCCCATATATCAGTACCTCCCGATATTCGGTATTTTGATGATTTTAGCGACATTTTTCACCGGAATGTGGCATTTGAAGTTCGTAATGGATACTACAACCTATAACAGATAATTGTATGTGGAGATCCACGTTATGGTATAGCTCTCATATAATAGTACCTCCCTATATTCGGTATTTTGATGATTTTAGCTATGTTACGTTATTGACATTCACTCCATTACAGACCCTCAAACCATAGAAGTTATTTTGAAAGGTTGTGTCCGTATCGACGAATTTTTAAGAGGCATAAAAATATCTTCTATAGTTGTATGAAAGGTTGGGAAAAGATTTAAGTGCGCCTAATGCGTTTGAATGACCTCTAAATGCAAAAATTCTCTCTTTCTCTAGAGTTATTCCCTCAAAAAACCATAAAATCGAGGATATATTATGTTTATCATCCTGTTTGCAACGCCTAGAAATATCCTTCGGAAAACCGCAAAAAATTCTAACAATTCCCTCAAAATTCCATCAATCCGTTCAAAAGTTACGATTAGCTTGAAATTCAATGTCGTTTTTGTCAAGTCCTCATCCCCGTCTGTTGTACTTGCAATGGAGGTCGCACTATTAAAGGTAGGGCTTTGAAATTTTGCATAGTCATTAATAAAATTCCTAAGAAGTTTGGTATTGGAAATTAAATATATCGGTCCACGTTTAGGTATGGATCCCATACAACCGAATTTCCTAATTTTCGGAATTTTTGGAGTTATAAGCACCATTTTCCAATCAAATCCGTTAAAATTTGCCATTTCAGGCTCTTAATGGGTCGTTTAACTGCTCGAAAGATATTCAATTTAGGATTCGGTATTTTCGAATATAACCCCTGTCATAAGGAAACTTTCGCAGGAAGAGTTTTCCATATTTCTCTTATAACCACTATTCCTTTCAAATTATGCCCTGCCATATGGACTCAATATCTTATCATTTGATGGGTCTTTTCCGCATATTTACCGACTCCCTTAATAAATTGTTTTTGTTTATAATTTTTTTTTGTCGCACTTCTTCAAACAAAGAACGGCGAGCTACGAGGATTTATTGTAATTGTCTTCTAGCTGTTTGCAAATAATTATCATATAATTTTTTTTTATTTATTTATTTACCTTTTTTTATTGTTGTTATCAATTATGGTTCGTACTTGGTGGTGGTTACAGGGCAAACAACAACAAAAAATAAACGGGGATGACACTATTATTGAAAATTATTTTTCTCTCTATGCAAAATTGCCATAAAAGAAATCCAGATTCCAATTTGGAGAGTTGAGAAAACGAGGCCTTTGCGACAGTAGCACCGCACCGAGTATGGCGTTTAATGTGGAAATCGCTTATCTACACTTCTGCATTTCCATGTATATTTATAATTTATTTATACTTGTATAATAAATAGTGAAAACAACAACAAAAACAACGGCCATTATCACAATACTCTGCTTAAGAGTTTAATTTAATATTTACCCCCACTCCATTCCTCCCTCGTCAAAGTATTGTTCAATAATGAAAAACAGTATTAAAAACAAATTGGGGCCAAATTCAAAGGTTTTGTTTTGGAAAAATATATATGTTTTTGATAAAATAATTTAGAAAAATTATCACTTTTTTGAAATGGAGAATATCAATTTTTGATAAAGGTTATTTATATCAACTCACAAAGGTAGAGAGCACACACACACACACACACATGAATCAAAGGGTCTCATTGTCTGGCAAAATAAAACTCTCAGGAATAATATGTGCCAATAACTCTCAGTTTCTCTCACCTGTAAATTTGCCACAAATGCAAGTAAAATTGCCCATGTAATGGGATATGGTTATTTTTTACTTCACCATATGGAGAGAGCAAGAGAAAGGAGATAATTAAAGAGAGAGAGAGAGAGTTCATAACCTCTTTTTGCCACAACAACAGAATCAAAGGGTTCATTTGCTTTGATCAAATAAAAACAGTTATCTTTGGACGATAATACTCTTCTTTTGTTTGTTATTACGCCGTTCTCATTAAATATTTCTGAATGAGTAATGCCTAACAAATATTGGTAGCCCATAATAAATAATTTTCGAGCCAAAAATCGTTATCATTTGATTTTTTTATTAATACCGATAACAGGTATTTTACCCATAGGTATTTCGGCACATTTCTGAATATGCAGGGATCTTATTTAAGGAAGTTTCTTTCGTGAATGCAAAAAAGGCACTGAGAAAAAATCGTTTGTTGGGAGAGACTCTTAAAAATGTATATTTAACAAAAAAAAAACTCTCGGTCAAAGTCTTTTAAGAAGACTAAGACTTTGGGAAGCAAGACATAGTTTTTTTTTGCGCCCATGTCCTGCAGATCTTGGTAGATGTTATATATCTTCATATCGTACACATTTCTAATCAAGAATACTTTCAATGACTCTAAAGGAGAACTCACGCGAACTGAAAGTTTACTAAATATTTATGACGTTATGTTGAGATAGGTTAGGTTCTAGAAGCAGATTTCAGACCAGGGCTATTTTGTATGTCTAGCGCGTTTTTTATATAAAACGCTTCATTTGAATTGACATTTCCATTAATTAAAACATTGTGTCAAACGTTTAAGATTCCCTTGCAACAAAAATAATATATTAATAGCGCACAAGCCTCCTTCCTTCTCCTCAGATCCGTAAACGCTAACGTTCAAAACTACGTTTTATTGTTAAACAAAACAAAAAATCAATAACAAAAATAGATACTTGCTCATCACAATCTAGTCTATGGCGCACGAGATTCTAATTAGTTTTCTTTGTTTTGTTGTTGTCAACTGTCATCTGCATCTGCATCAGCATCGCAGCGCACAACAAATTCTTTGTTATCCACTTACCTTTGGTAATTCACGTTTACGCCTGAATATAACTCCATCATTTTCAATATAATCGGGTACTTCCTTGCGATTGGAGAAATTGAAGACCATCGAGGTCTGTTCGGCTGGTGGTGCGGGAGGATTTTGACGTCGTTTGCGCATTGCCCAGAGGGGGCTATTTGTAGCACTGATAACTGTATCAACTTCGGAGAAACCACTGCCAGAGGCGGCTGTACCGCCACTGTTTGCGGTGGTGGTGTTGTGGCTGGAGGAGGATTTAATCACATCTAGACTAGCTGACGAGGGCAATGTGGCGTTGGAGGATGGCGACGATGAAGTCACTCCCGTTGATTTTTTCAAATCATTTATGCGATTCTTCTCAATTTCCCTTGAGGTCAAGTGTGAAGGTGTTACGGAGGAATGTTTTAATGCCTCCATGTTGCTGCTGCTGCTGTTGTTGGAGGTGGCGTTTGTTGCTGCTGTTGTTGTTGTTGCCGTGGCTGTGGTATTCTGAAGTGGCCTTATTACACCGATCTGTTTACCAGCTACAGATGTTGTGGTGCTGCTGCTGTTGTTGTTGTTGGCGGACTGGGACTGGGCTGGGGATGCCGTTGATGATGCGTTGCTTGAGAATTTGAATTGTTGTGTGGTTCCGGCTTTGGCTATATTGTCCAGGGCGGCGCGCGTTATACGTTTTGTCGTTGGAATGCCGTATTCGTCGTCGTCTTCACCATCACTTAAATCACTACTGCTGTGTGCACTGTGAGCCTTCTTAACGGCTGCCTCGTTCGTTGCCTGAGAGGGCACGACTTGGCCAGCGGCGGCGAAGGCGGAGACGTTGTTGGAGTTCGATTGTGGTGCCGTTTCATTGTGGATTTGTTGCTGTTTAATCTTATCGTTTTCGCTTTTAAGAGAGCTGGTGCTGAATTCATTTGTATTCGCTGCTGCTGCTTCTTCTTGCTCGCCTGTTTGGTTGTATTGATTGTCGTCGTCGTCGCCGTGGACGCCGTCGTGGAATGCGTCATCAACCTTTCTGTTGTCGTCGACGCCGACACGATCACCACCACCACCACCACTACTAATGCCAATACCTCCTACACTACCGCTAGCCTCACTTCCGTCCCCCTCCACTCGACGCGCCATGTTATCGCTTTTCGAGTTATCGCCTTTTCCACCAGCTGTTGCTTGCGGTGAGTTGCTGTTATCGCTTAGTTTCATTCTCTCCAACTCTTTGGAAAGAGCTGTAACCGGTGAATCCACCATGGAGGCGAGAAACCTGTCTTTGGCACTGCTCTTGAGTGGGGAATCCACCACTGTCGAGAGCGGTGGCTCCATCAGAGAATTCATAAACTTCTCTTTATTGATGCCCATGGAGTATTTCTCTTTGTTGTTGTGTTGATCTCTTTCCGAATGCAATTTCTGTCGTGGTATTATGTCCGGTGTATGCTCTGACAGGGTGTTTGTCTTTGACTCCAGGCCACTGGCATGCGAATTGGCGGCAGCCATTGTTTTGCGACCCAAAGGTGTTTGCTGTAGCTCCGAAGAGGATTTCAATGTTGGCTTCACCAAGTTGGGAGTGCCGCCAACGCCAAGTTTCTTGGTGGGACTTAAAGGCTTGGGGTAGCTTACCACCGGCTTCTGATCTTTGATGATGTTCTTGAAAGTCTCCACTTTGCTGGCCACATCACCCTTGGAATTGGAACGATTGGTGCTACGTGGTCGCCGATTGGCATTGGCCTCAAACATTTTCAGGGTCTGTTTAACCAAATCCGGCGGTGGCCTTTCGGTGTCATCTATGATGGAGGTCAGACGTTTCGGTGGCATGTGATCGGTGCCCTGATGCAAACGCTCGCGGGCATTTTGAATTTTATCCTCAATGGTCACACAGGTGGGGGTAACACTGGCGGCCATGCGTTGGCCCTGCCAAGGCGATTTTTCACTGAGCAAAGCTTCCACGGAACGAGCGCGTTTCAACGAGTCATTACCGCGTTTTAGGTGGCGCGAACGTTTGTTAAACGACGAGGTTTCGGTAAAGGTTACCCCCACCCCGTTCGAACCCTGAGAGAAACGTTTTTCCTGCGGGGAATACGAATTCTTTAGAATACCCGATTTTTTCTGTGCGAAACCGGAAATTGTGTTCTGTTGCTGGTCTCCACCGGCGTGGCCGGCACCAACGTCAATGTTCTCTATGTTTTCGTCGTCGTCTTCATCCTCCTCCTCCTCTTCGTCCTCGGCACGATCATCATCGAGCAGATTATTCAAACTGGTTGAACGTCTCAGGAGATCTTTGTTAAGACGTTGCTGTTCCATGGACTCACGCAGAGCCAGGCTAAGGTAGCGACAACGCAGCTTCGACACAATGCCAGGGCCATAGCTTAAATCCTCATTGGAATCCAAGTCATTGGAGTTTTGTGAGCCGCCAATGACACCGTGGCCACCACCAACTCCAATGCGATTGCTGCGGCCATTCGAGGTGACCGAGGAGCCACCATTGTTGGTGGCGCTGCATGTGGAGTGTTGCAAATGTGTGGCAGAGTTCTGGGTGGATTTCTTCATTTCTTGCATGGCCACCATTTTCTTTTTGATTGCAGCACAGTTACTGTTGGTCGACGAGGCAAACGATGATGATGTTGAGGATGACGAAGTAGACGTCAAAGATGAAACAGTCTTGGTGGGGGATTTCGAATCCGCTGTTTTTATGGTTTTTATTATTTTTGTTTTGTTCACCACTTGCTGTTCGTTTTTAATAAATTGATTTTCTTGTAATTTCTGTGATATTTTCACTACAGTGTTTGTTGTCGTTGTAGCTGTTGTTGTTGAAACCGATGTAAGACCGCTGTTGTTCGCCGCACATACTAAACGTTCACTCTCGCATTTACTCGACGACTGATTTGCCGAACCATTATTTGCTCCAGTTATGTTGATGTTGATGTTTGTTGCGGTCTCTCTCTCGGCACAGCTACTACTCAACAACTCGGCTCTCTTGATGAGTGTTGTTGTTGTTGCACTACCACTATTCATTGTTGACGACGACAACGACGACACTGACGACGATGATGAAGAAGAACCCGTTAAACGGGTTGCCATTTGTTGCTGTTGCTGTTGTTTTATGCCCGAAGTAGTTGTAATGTTGTTGTGTACATCTGCGCCGCCATCGTCTTCCTCTCCGCCTAGAGATGTTCTGATTGTTCTACCTTTTGTTGTTTCTTTGGTCTTGTTTGTTTTTTCCAAATATTCTTCCTCCATTGTTGCTGTCGTTGTTGCTGGATCTTTTGTGGTGGTGATCTCTTCTTTGGTATTAACTGTTGCTGTCGCTGTTGTAGTTGGAGCTTCGGTTATTGCTGTATATTGACCTCCAAACAATTTAGCCGTTGCCAGTTCTTTGTGGGGAGATGTTATGGTTAGTGGGGATGTGAGTTTTGTTGTTGTTGTTGGTGGTGTTGCTGCTGCTGCTGCTGATGGTGATTTAATTGCAGCCGGTATAGATGTTGTTGCATGTTGTTTATTTACCTTTGTTGTTGATGTAGATGTCGATGAAGACGACGGTGATGATGATGATTTATTAAAATCTTTGGTAGGGGAATGTAAACCTTCTGAAACGGCAAAAAAGAGGAAGAAGAAAATAAGACAAAATACATAAACAAACGAGAGGAATCAAGGTAATCTGATGGATTAAAGTTCTACCGGAATGTTTTTGTTTAAGAGCTTGAGTCATAAAATTGAAATGTGTATATTTGGGAATCGTATATGAAATATGTTTCCTGGATATGGGACCATGGATTAAAAAATATTTCTCAAAAATACTCAAGGGGTACCCATCTATTTTTCTAGTAGAAAATTATCACTGGTGCTAAACTATCTAGAGTGCAAGGATTTTCGATACTGCAAGTGACAAATTTATGTGAGACAATCATCACAGCAATAGAAAATAAATGTTCCTCAGAAAAATACCACTAGTAATAATTTTGGGTGTGAAAATTTCTTAAGATCACTGGTGACAATTTTGTATTTAAAAAAAACTGTCATTAGCGATAATTTTCCTACGAAAAAAAACTATCACTTGCGATAATTCTATAGAAAATTATCACAAGTTGTATTTCTCTTATAGAAAATTAAAACCAATTACAAAGTTCATAAAGAAAAGTATATCAGTAATACCATATTTTATAATAACTTTGTCACTGGTTTTAATTTTTTATAAGAGAAATAAAACTTGTGATAATTTTCTATACAAAAATTATCACTAGCAATAATATTCTGTAAGAAAACTATCACTTGGAATAACTTTCCATAAATTACTTACACTTGTGATAATTCCTTATAAGAAATCTATCACTAGTGATATTGTTTTTTGTATGAAGACTATCACTACTGATATTTTTAAAAGAAAACTATCACTTGGAATAACTTTCTATAAATTAACTAGCACTTGTGGCAATTCCTTATAAGAAAACTTTAACTAGTGATAAATTTCCGTGAGAGAACTAGTGCTGGGGATAATTTCATATAGCGCAACGCTCACTCATGATCATTTTCTATAAAAACAGTATCATTTGTGAATTTGTTCTAAACCAATACCAGTGACTATTACCTTGGAAAAAATATTATGGCTATGAAATTTCTGTCACAGAAATATAACTTATCAGTTGTGATATTTTTTTATCATGGTACATACAATTTATAATACTTTTATGGAAAGAAAACCTCAATTGGCTTTAAAGTATGAAACTTCAAAAAATCGACTCCAGAAACGTCTTTCCTTCATTAGAATAACTCAAAATAATTCTCAAAATCAAAATAATGAAGCACTTAATGCAAAAAGCACTCCAGAGAATTCGTAATTTGCAAACAATGCCCATGCTGCACCCTTCCCAGTAATTATTTACACAATAGCTGCTCGGTAGGTAGGTATTGCCAGAAACAACCCTTGCACATTTAATGTTTGTTACCCCTTTTTTATTTTGGTTTGATTGTTGCAAAATCTGACTACAGTCATCAAATATGAGTCTTATTAATTTTCGAAATTTGTAGTACCCAGGTATGAGTAACAAAAGTTGTCATTTGCAAAAACAAATTCATGCCTTGGCATTATGAATGGGTGATTTCCAATGAATAATGGTTACGTTGGGCGCCACAGTTACGAAACGAAAACAGATGAGCCGCCATTCTTGGAATGGGCATAGTAGATGATTAAGACTTTAAGATTTTAGAGAGGCACATTTTAAAGACTCATTTTAGGGATCCGTTTTAAAATTTTACACCCATCCGGGCAAGAACAATGATTTTGGCCCTTAAAATCCTACAGGAATCGAAGTCGAATATCCCCAAGACTTCTTAAAGAGCAAAAGTAACATTTATTTTCTTTACGGTTTTCATTTTGTTGTCCATTATCGATTTGCAATCTGAAGACACCAACAGAACAAAGTGTTTGTGTGTGTATGTGTTTTTGAGATTCTCTCTTTGCAAAAACCACAACACACATTTCTTTTCCAATTAGTTTTGTGAGAGCCAAACAGAAGGTATCTTGTTTGAAAAAAGTTAGTAAACACACATTCTTTTAAAAGGGGAGACCTCAAGAGAACTAGAGGGAGAGCACATTATTGTACGTCGTAAACAGTATCTGAGAAGTGGCTTAATTTAGCATAACACTTCAACCGGTTTATTTTCATTCTCATCAAATGGAGGGGATGAGAGGAGGGCAGAATGAGAAGAGTTCTTGACTTGAGGAGATAGTTAAAGAAAATAAAACACCGTTGCCACTCATACCTTGCTCCCCCGCCCCCTCTCTGAGACTGTCATCACCATTTACTCTCCACAAAAAAAAAAAACAACAACAACAACTATGTATATAGGTATGTTGCCGCTCATTCATGTGTATCCACAAAATGGGTCTATTGTTTTGTTTTATTTTGTTGAATTGTTAATTTATTTTCGTGCAAAGTGTGAAAAATGTAGAGGAAGAAGCAGAAGAAGATACCAACAACAAACGAACGAACGAATTGACATTTTGCCTTAATTAAGGTGGCCAGATATGGGTCAAGTTATAATAGAATAATGAAAGTAGTTGGCTTTATTTTTTTTATGTAATGTAAAATGTAATGAAATGTTTAATATTTTATGGTGAGCGGTAAGAGAAGCAGTTTAATAGGAACATACTCTTTAAGGTGTAAGACAATTGGTATTTAGATGGGGTTTCATAAGGGATTTTTAGATCGAAGAGATTTAATATGTCTTCACATAGTGGAGTGTAATAAAAGTTTGGTAACACTGTTTTTATACCATCCACCATAGTATGGAGGGTATGTTAAGTTTGTCATTCCGTTTGTAACACCTCGAAATATAAATTTTAGACCCCACAAGGGTATATATTCTTGTCTGCCCGTCTGCAGAAATCACTCGAGCTTCCGAACGAAATGAAGTAGGTTGATAAAATTTTACTCAAATGTATATTATGTCTGCAGGACTTTTGGTATTAAAAATGGGCCATGTAGGTCCACGTATTGGTAAAGCCCCCATATAACGGTACCTCCCTTTTTTTGGTATTTTAATGATTTTAGCGACATTATTCACCGGAATTGTTTCAAATTTGATATTTGAAACTCATAATGGATACTACAGCCTAAGACAGAAAATTGTTTATGCAGGTCCAGGTCTTCGTACATCCCCCATATAACGGGAGCCCCCTGATATTCGGTATTTTGATGATTTAAGATACATTTTTCACCGGAATAGTTTCCAATTTGGTATTTAAAGTTCGTAATGGATACTACAGCCTATGACAAAAAATTGTCTGTGCAGGTCCACGTCTTCGTATAGCCCCCATATAACGATACCTCCCGATATTCGTTATTTGGATGATTTTAGCTATTTTATTCACCGATTTTTTTTTCAAGTTTCGTATTTGAATATTGTAATTGCCTATACAGGTCCAAGTTGTTGTATATATCCTAATATAACGGCTATATTTGGTGTTTTTAAGATTTTAATAGAACTTTTAGCGGATTTTTTTTTTGAAAATTGCCAAATTCGTTCCAAATAGCGGAGGGCATTCAAAGTTCGGCCCAGCCGAACCTACAGATTGTTTACTTCTCTCGTTTTGAAATTAAAATTTTAATTTCGATGTTAAAGTGGCCTTAAGGTGCTAAGTGAAATTATTAGTTCTTCCCTAGTTCCCCGACCAAGTGGGATGCAAACTATTCTTTTTTCTTTTAAAGTCCGTGGTCTTGTGTCCTGCCCTTGCAATGTCTCATTTTAAAATCCCTTGAGCTTTGCATGTTTCAAGGATTCCGTTTAAATGGAATTTGACGAAAAAAATAGGGTGTGTGTTTCTTTCATTTACTTTTGACCCGTTTTTCTAACGACAAAGAAAATGAAAAAAAATGTAAAAACTCCTTTCCCATTCCGATTTGGGTGCGGTTAATTTGTTTTTTTTTTCAGCCAAAGGAAGGACATAATAAAATACTTAAAATATCAACCCTAAAAGTGTTTTTTTATACTCAAATATAAATACATTTGTACATACAAATGAATATTTGTATGTCCATAAAATTAAACCCTTGATGAGCGTTATTACACTTCAAAGAAAGTGTAATTTTCAGATGCAGGCTAATTATGGGAAGTATGGCTAATTAAATTAATTATTTTTAATACTTTGGACTCTGAACAAGAATATTGGAAAATAAAAAATATTCAAAATTAAAAAAAAAGCTAATTATTTTCTCCCATGTTTGCCATGTTCCAAAAACTGCAAGAATCTACTACTTTTGCATTTTTTTTTTCGATATTATAAAGGAAAACTCGTTTAACGTAGTCAAAAGTTTCACATTCCTGCAGTTCTGAAACAGAGCAGTTATTTAAAAAATTATGGTCTCATGTTGGATGTTTGCGTCCTTCGTAGTATACCTATATAAACATCAACAATTTCAACATTGTTTTCATTATTCTCATAAATGCAACCTTATTTTCCCCATCTACATTTTATTTTTTACCTTGGCGCTGAATGGGTTAAGGATAAATTCACCCACCATTTGAAAGGTTGAAAAAATACACCCCCACAAAAATTGAATACAATGACATGAAAATGTTTGTAAATAGCATATCTTTCGATTTTTTTTGTTGGTTTTGGAATAGTAACAAATGTGATGACTCAACGGCAGCAAAAAAAAACAACAACACAAATAACATCTGCTTTGTAATACACATATAATCAGAATATTAAGTCTGAGGACAACACGTTTAACAACATTGAAAGAATATTGGTGACAAAAGTTGGCAACAAAAAAATGGAGAAAAGTAAAAAAAAGTGAACAGTGGATAGCAAAATTTGGAATTCCCCCAGAGTACAAATTGAAAATCAAAAGGGATAACTGTTCAAAATCTTTATTAACCTATTAAAAAAATACTCGATATGTCAAATTGAAGAATAAAATTATTTAATGATATAAAGATTTAAAAATGAAACAAGTAAGTTCGGCTAGGCCGAACCTTGAACACCCTCCACCATAGGGAATGAATTTGGCAACTTTGAAAAAAAAATAAAATCCTTTAAAAATTCTTTTAAAATACCGAACAAAGCCGTTATATACGACGACGT